AACAAAGTTATAATACCCTTGTGCACAAGTGCGCTCGGGTATAAAAACAAACTTTAGGCTTCTGATCATTCAAAGTAATAATTTCTCGTAGAGTCGATGTCTTTGGGTACCGAGATCGTCCGGCTTGGCCTCGTTGGACTTTTTTATGAGGCCAGGCCGTATTTAAGCGAATAAACTTGAAAAACAACATATCTGAAGTTTTGGCTAAGAAGCCGCCCAGTATATATACGAGCATACCAACAGATCAACTTTCGAAGATTTCAAAGATTTTCTGAAGCTCCCCTAAGTTGCTCACAATTTTCCCTTTTGTTCATTAATGAGTAAGTTTGATCTTTTCTGACAGTCAGGTAGCCCTGTTTAAGAATCACATACATATAAACAATGCAAAGTCCTTAACTGAATGCCGTAGGCCTTTGAACGAGAATTCTAATCGTATTGGTGCCAGTACACCGAGATATAGAGGGTAATTGCAAAGTGATGAATTTGCAAGGAAAGGTACGGCCACCCATAACCTGCGGGAACTTCGAGAATTACGTGGCCTTTCGGGCGCCAAATTTATGACTCGTCCGCGATGCTTGGATGGTTAAGGCCAACCCTGCTTAACTTATGTATTTATATCAAATTTGTAAGTACATACGTATATACATATGTATGTATGTACATACATTTCTCAGCGTCCTAAGTTTATAGTCTAATCAGTGGAGTTTTTTTGCTCCCTTTTTATTGTGTGTGCTGAGTGTTCTTGATAGCTTCTGAGAGGGCAATAAAATATATTTGTATACATTTTTTATTCATGCATCTTTCCGTATATTAAAATAAAAACGGCACGCCAGCGTCTTCTTAATTTATTTTCTTTATTATTTGCAATTTATGACGAAATGCAGTTGATAATGAAACTACGCTCGAGCACAAATTTTTATGTAGTAAGTTCTTATATATGTATGTATGTAAATATGCAGTTACGAGTATCAGTGTTGCCAGAAAAAAAATTCGTTTGGAGCTAAATCGGTCGAAAAAAGAGCTAAATAATACTAATAGAAGCTATGAAAAGCTAATTTTTTTTTTAAGTTGAGCATTTATTGACGTAAAGTTGCTTTTCACTTTCCTCAATAAAATAAAAATAACGAATTTTATTAATTTAAGTGCTGAAAAACCTTTTACAACGAAAATAAGGTGCATCTATTTCGAACTCTCCTTTTCTGCAGTGGGCGGCTGAGAGAGAATACACCGTCTGAGCTTGAATTACTGCCCGGTATAGTTTGTGTGCTCCCGCGCTCATTTGCTTACGCGTCATTTGCATTAGGAATGGAACTTTTCTAAGTTTTAATCGAAATAAAATAACATGAAGCTATCGAAAATAGCCTGAGATCACCAAAGCCAAATAAATTTTAGTCAACACTTGTAACGGGTGATTTTTTTGAGGTTAGGATTTTCATGCATTAGTATTTGACAGATCACGTGGGATTTCAGACATGGTGTCAAAGAGAAAGATGCTCAGTATGCTTTGAAATTTCATCATGAATAGACTTACTAACGAGCAACGCTTGCAAATCATTGAATTTTATTACCAAAATCAGTGTTCGGTTCGAAATGTGTTTCGCGCTTTTTTATCGACAAATTTTGTTCAGCGATGAGGCTCATTTCTGGTTGAATGGCTTCGTAAATAAGCAAAATTGCCGCATTTGGAGTGAAGAGCAACCAGAAGCCGTTCAAGAACTGCCCATGCATCCCGAAAAATGCACTGTTTGGTGTGGTTTGTACGCTGGTGGAATCATTGGACCGTATTTTTTCAAAGATGCTGTTGGACGCAACGTTACGGTGAATGGCGATCGCTATCGTTCGATGCTAACAAACTTTTTGTTGCCAAAAATGGAAGAACTGAACTTGGTTGACATGTGGTTTCAACAAGATGGCGCTACATGCCACACAGCTCGCGATTCTATGGCCATTTTGAGGGAAAACTTCGGAGAACAATTCATCTCAAGAAATGGACCGGTAAGTTGGCCACCAAGATCATGCGATTTGACGCCTTTAGACTATTTTTTGTGGGGCTACGTCAAGTCTAAAGTCTACAGAAATAAGCCAGCAACTATTCCAGCTTTGGAAGACAACATTTCCGAAGAAATTCGGGCTATTCCGGCCGAAATGCTCGAAAAAGTTGCCCAAAATTGGACTTTCCGAATGGACCACCTAAGACGCAGCCGCGGTCAACATTTAAATGAAATTATCTTCAAAAAGTAAATGTCATGGACCAATCTAACGTTTCAAATAAAGAACCGATGAGATTTTGCAAATTTTATGCGTTTTTTTTAAAAAAAAAAGGTATCAAGCTCTTAAAAAATCACCCGTTACAATGAAATTAAAGATTTTTAATTTTAATATATTACCAAATACAACTAAAACTTTCTGAAGCTAAAAAGGTGCTAGATAATTTTGAAAAGAGCTAAAAAAAAGAGCTAGGAGCTAAATCCTGATTTTCGGAGCTAGATAAAAAAATAAAG